GGAGCGGCCACTGCACTCCAGTCTGGGCGACAGAGTGAGACTCCAATACAAAAAAAAACCCAAAAAAACAAAAAGAAGGAACACAAGTACCCACTCTGTTGGTGCAGCGCCTCCTTTCTTCGAGCATCTCCTTGGCGACTTCCCTGACAGGCCTGGTCAGGGTTCTCCAAGTGTTCCCAGGCAGGCCGGGATCAAGCCCGGGCCCGCGTGGCTTCCCTGCATCCTCGTGCGCCCGTCCTGCCCTTGCTGGCTGCGTCCTTCCCTGCCTGTCGGTCCTGAGGTCTTTCTCGTCCCCAGTGGTGCTCGGGGCGGGGCTGTTCGTGATGTTCCTGGTCCTCTACGTGGGCATCTCTGTGGTCTACCTGATCTGCATGGCACGGAGGAGCCGGGAGCGTGCCCTTCACACCGTCTGGAGCTCTGGGGACGACAAGGAGCAGCTGGTGAAGAACTCCTACGTCCTGTGAAGGCCCGTCGCCAAGAGGACTGGGGAGGAGGATGTGTGTGCTTTTTTAAAACAGAGTGATGGATTTGTATTTGTGGGGTCCTTGGGGCTTTGATCTTAGACGGCAGGGGGCTGCTTCCTGAGTTCATGGAGGGGGTTTGCTTTGGAAATCCTTGCTCACGTTGCCAGGGGTCTGGCATCAGCGTGGAGTTGTCTCCTTGATAGATTTCTTTCCTCCAGCTACAGTTTTCTTTGCTTATGTTGAATTCCATTGCCTCCTTTCTCGTCACAAAATGATAAAATAGTTTCTTTTGTTTGATTTATGTTTTTTTAAGTAAGCATAAACAAGTTTTTTTTTTATTAGGCTTCTGTAAGGAAGAAAGCAAAACATACAAGTTTAATAAAGGGGCCTTCCCTTATAAAGTAAATTTCAGCATGTGCTTTTTTTATGGGATCACTAATTTAAGCTCTACCAAAACTATCACAGGACACTGAGATGACCCATTCTAGAAACAGACCCCTTAAAATTGCATATTTCAGATCTTTTTGAATGTGACTCACAATTGAAATAAACTTTACAGTACTGAGTGCCCATGGAGTTTCACCAAGCAACACAACTTTGCCACTTGTGCTGAGTTCTGACCTTTTCTTGCTCTCTTTCACTTAAACATTTTGGCCGAAGCCACGGAATTGGCTTCGATCGCCCGCGGTAGACCCCCGCTTTGAAGCTCTGCCTGTCAGGCGGGCGGGAGGGCTTGACTGACTCTGGCGTTGGTGCTTTTCGCTCCTTGCAGTCCTGGGCTCTCCCCGGCTGGAAGGGGTGGCGGGGGCAGCTCCCGGCCAGGTCCTGCGGTGCTGATGCTGGACTTTCCGCCGAGTCTTCCACGGCTCCTTTGCTGGAACAGAGCAGGGCCCTGCCGGGCTGGGTCCGGCCTCTAGGCCCAGGCCCAAGCCTGCTGCCTGTCTGTGGGTGTCCGTCTCCCATCTCTCGCCTGCGGAAGCCGCCCCCCCCAACAAGGCAGCCCTGGACACAGCATCCGGGCAGCCTGTGGGTCAGACAGGCGCCCTGGGCCTCCCCTGGGCTCACCCTGGAAGTGCAGTATTGCCGCCCAGACTGTGCTTTGGGCTCTTCCCGGAACCGAGGGACGTGGGTGTCCTTGCGTTGGGTGTCCAGGGCTTAAAAGCCAAGTTGGGCAAATACCTCGTTGGCGCCTTCCTTCCTCCCTCACCCGTGGCACCTGTTGCTGACAGACTCTGGCATTCTCCCAGCCGAGCCTCAGGCCTCAGCCCCCAGCCCCACTCTCCAGGCAGCACTGCTGGTTCAGAGCTGGTGGACAAGGGGAACCTACACGCCACATCCCGGGTTGGGCTCCCAAGCTCCAGGTGATCCTGGTCCAGGGCAGGAGGGCAGAGCCTGTCCATCGGGACACTCCGGGTGTGGCAGCAGGCACGTCCCTGGCCCTGTGAACCCGGCCCGCACGTCCTCCCCTGCAGGGGCTTGCCGTGCAGCTGGGTGAGCGCATGCGAGGTGTCAGAGAGAGCCTGCTCCAGGCAGGGGTCCCTCCCGTGCCCCATGAGCACACCTCAAGTCCACCCATTCCCATGCTTCACTCATGTGCCCCCGTGGGGTTCAGGAAGCCCAAACCTACTGGTGCCCCTGGCCTGGCAGAGGCCTTTCAACACCCACACCAACAAGGGCTGTCTCTCATTCACAGCTCAGTGAGGGAAAGGAAAGAAGTTGTACCTTTGGATTAAAAGAAAAACTGTTCTCGGTGGCTCAGCCTGTAATCCCGTGCCTTGGGAGGCTGAGGTGAGTAGGTTGCCTGAGCCTGTGGGTTCGAGACCCACCTGGGCAACTTGGTAAGACCTCATCTCAACAATAAATAAAAAATTAGCTGGGCGTGGTAGCACGCGTCTGTAATTCTGGCTACTCGGAAGGTTGGGGTGGAAGGATCGCGGGAGCCCAGCAGGTCGAGGCTGCGGTGGCCGGGAGTGGCCACTGCACTCCAGTCTGGGCGACAGAGTGAGACTCCAACTCAAAAGAAAAGCTGTTGGGAATTGCTTTGATTGTCCTACAATGGGAAGATGAATTCTTTTTTTTTTTTTTTTTTAGTTGGAATCTCATTCTGTTGCCCAGGCTGGAGTACAATGGTATGCTCACGGCCACCGCAGTCTTGACCTGCTGGGCTCAGGTGATCCTTCCGCCTCAGCCTTCCAAGTAGCTGGAACCACAGGTGCGTGCCACCACGCCCAGCTAATTTTTTTTTTTTTTATTGTAGAGATGAGGTCTCACCAAGTTGCCCAGACTGGTCTCCAACCCGTGAGTTCAGGCAATCCTCTCACCTCGGTCTCCCAAAGTACAGGGATTATAGGCGTGAGCCACCACATCCAGCCAAAGTGTATTCTCTTAAGACCATTTGAGCTTTTGTAGGTTTTGTTTTGTTTTGTTTGAGTTGGAGTCTTACTCTGTCGCCCAGGCTGGAGTGCAGTAGCATGCTTACCACCACCCCAGCGTCGACCTGCTGGGCTCCGGCGATCCTTCCGCCTCGACCTCCCAAGTAGCCGGAACTACAGGTGCGCGCTGCCACGCCCAGCTAGTTTTTAAAAAATGTATTGTAGAGACAAGATCTCACCAAATTGCCCAGGCTGGTCTTGAACCCTCGGGCTCAGGCAATTCACTTGCCTCAGCCTCCCAAAGTGCTGGGATTATAGGCTGAGACACCAAGCCTGGCCTTTTGTAGATTTTTTTTTTTTGAGTTGGAGTCTCACTCTGTCGCCCAGACTGGAGGGCAGTGGCCGCTCCCAGCCGCCGCAGCCTCAACCTGCTGGGCTCCGGCGATCCTTCCGCCTCGGCCTTCTGAGTAACCGGGATTACAGGCACGCGCAACCACGCCCGGCTGATTTTTTGATTTATTGTAGAGACGAGGTCTCACCAAATTGCCCAAGCGGGTCTTCAACCCGCGGGCTCAGGCAATCCACTCACCTCAGCCCCCCAAAGCGCGGGACTACAGCCTGAGCCACTGAGCCTGGCTTTGTCGGTTTTTAATAACGACGAGCCTTTATGTTTCCGGTGCCAAAGCTCCCACACTGTGACTCACTTCTGCCAAAATCTGCCTTGTCTCCAGGTGTGGGAGGCCCCGCAGCCCCACCTGCTCCTGGTCGACTGCATCAGATCTTTGAATTCCCCCCAGGGCCACCAGTGGAGTCTCAGCACAGTCCACACCTTTCCAGGTTATGGTGCTGCTGTTCCAGCCCAATCAGCCAACTTTCTGCTCTACTGTGGCCCTCCAAGCTAGACTGCATCACGTGATTGGCTCTCGGAGCCACCTACAGGCTGATAGTGGTGTCCTTTTTGTTGTAATCTTGTCCCTTGTCATCCGCAGGCTGCTGGCACTGCTGAGAGGCAGGATGGACCTTTTTTTTTTTTTTTTTTGGAGT